GATTCCTCACTGTATGACTTCCTTCTCCTTCAGAGCTGTGCCAGGTCCTTCCTGGTAGTGTCCACCACCCACCAGATGCCACCACCTCCTCTCAGAAAAGCACCAACGGGCTGCACTGGCAACGTGCTGGATTCCTCACTGTATGACTTCCTTCTCCTTCAGAGCTGCGCCTAGTCCTTCCACAGCTCCTAGACCTTGGCTGGTAGTGTCCATTACACACCACCACCCACCAGACGCCACCACCTCCTCTCAGAAAAGCGTAGCAGAAGAGACCTTTTAAAAGCCACCATGTATCCCTTATTTAGATGAACAGGAAAAGCAAATGCCCCTCTCCCCTTATCTGATTCTACCTCCACATATTGCTGCAGTCCATACCCTCACCCCTGCTGCTGTGCCAGTGCTGTGAGTAAGGTTGAAGGAAAGAGAGGGGCTGCACGATACCTTCAAGCTCATAGGATGTGGCATTTCCAACCAAGCACTCCCTAAAGAACCTGAAGTGGCTCAGAGACTCACTTCAGTTGCAGATTTAGGAAATGCCCAAGGCTTCAAGAGAAACATACATTCTCTTTGCCAGTTATCCAGAGGGTATTTTCCAGGAAAGGGTCTGCTGGGAACAATTTCCAACGGAAATCCAATTGGAAAACCTGTTTGAAAGGGCTGTCCTCAGAATCCCATTGCAGAGATCTTTGGTCCCAACTGAACCTTCTCCATGAAGGTCACAGTGATGATCTCTTCTCCTCCCCTCAGACCAGCCTGTAGCGACCACTGTCCTGGCCACCATTGGCAAATTTACTGCCACGGCCTCCTTCTCCACCTCCTATGTCTATGCCGCAGAGCTCTTCCCCACCATTGTCAGGTGAGGTCTCCCCACACATCAAGGCTTCCCTCCACCATGGCTGGTGGGGCAAGAACCTGGTTGTCCCCATGGTGGCACTCAGTCCCACGGTGGCCCAGGGGATACCAGGCCCTGCCCACACCTCCCACTCTCCCTCACTCCCCCAGGCAGACCGGCGTGGGGCTGTGCTCGATGTCGGCCCGGGTGGCGGGGATCGTGGCCCCACTGATCCGCCTCCTGAGCGAGTACCACCGGGCCATCCCCATGGCCATCTTCGGGAGTGTCCCCGTGGTGGTGGGACTGCTCTGCTTCCTGCTGCCAGAGACCCGCGGTGCAGACCTGGCGGATGACACGGGGGCAACTGCTCCCGAGCTGAGGTGGGTACCCACAGCTCTGAATTTAAGGCAAAAAAAAAAAAATCCAAAGGTACAAATTTAAGACAATGAAAGGTACATCAAAAACGAGGGTGGAAACACTATTATCTCTTCCTCTTTCCTTCACGTATTCAGGAGCAGGACACTGGAAGTTTTGTCCAAGGGAGACACCACAAAGGATGGAGCAGACTCGGAGAAGGGCATGCGCAGCTGCTTGGAGAGCAAGTGATGAACGGACAGGCACACACAAAAGGCATAGTCTGAACCATTTTTCTTGAAGCAGAGCAATGAGGCACTGCTGTCTGGAAAAACTGGTCTTTCAAATGATCCACAAACTCCTCGTGCTCAGAGGGAGAGCTCCGTGTCGCTCTGCGGCTGGAAAAGACGCGCTTTGGACTGTTCCCCAAACCCGCTCTGTTCTGCCTGGCTGCGCGAGTCCCGTCCCCTCCCCACCCCGATTCCTGACGTGTTTCCCAGTCCTTTGCAAACTGGTACCCGTGGAACCACCCCTGTCGTGTTTTACAGCAATAACCAGTTGCCAGTAGAGTGGTAGTACTGGGCAAGCGAGCGCCGGGCTGTGTCCCTCCTGCACTAACCGCTCGGGTCGCCGGCCTTCTCCTGGGCCCGAGCCTCCACGTTTGATCAGGATGTCACTGAAACCCTGTCACACACCTATTTAGCTTTTCTTTCTCTATGTGGTGTTTGAATTTGAGTTTCTACATGAATAATATAAATTATACTCGGAGTTTGATAAGAGACACTTGTCATGCAATATGTGAATAACAAATGGTGTTGATTTGTTGTTTTTTTTTTATTTTGTTGTTTCCTACTGTTTCACAGTTGGCCTTTGTAACTGCTATTGGCTCTGGAGTGTTTTCTACACAGAAATTGTAAGCCTGTCGTTGAACACACAGATGGAAACGTGTTTGGTTTCCATCAGCCACAAACAATGCAGAAACAGAGTGTTAAAGCGGAATGACTGGGTTCAATCAGAACTTTTTTTATTTCTCCTGATGTCTCTCGATGAACAGTCTCTATTTATTTTCTCCATGAGCTGCTGTGGAAGTTTCCTGATTTATGCCATGTACCTTGCGATTCAACCTCAGTTAAACTGAGCTGGGCACCTGGAGAGCTTTCCCCCATCATGGTCAAGCTTTAACAGTGACATTTAACAGACTTGCTTGGCTGCTTCCAGCTCATCCACAACAACATAGTGGCATTTCGTGTCACAAAAAAGAAAGACAAGGGTGGTCTTCTCTCCTGCTTTACTTGCTTGCAAATAGAGAATGTATTTGGCACCCTTTCATGAAGCTACCTCCTCAAGCCACAGCACTAGTCTTGGTCTTAGAAGAAGGCTGGTCACTCAGGTTTGTAGCATGCTTTTGTTTCCAATCACTTCTGGTATTTCTCAGGCTGGCATGTCCCAAGTCTGAGCCAGACGTGCCTGGAGGTGATATTCATTTTGTACTTTGGCTTTGGTGCACAAGATCTCCCCAAACTGCAAAGTTTCCCATGGGACCTGGCTGTGGCTGGAGATGGGGCAGGGCATTTTCAGGATCTGGGATTTGGCACTGGGTCATTGCACGGAGCCAAAACAGCAGAATTAAAGCTGCTTCTCCTCACCTTCTCAGCCTTTCCCTGCTGGGTCCCTTTCTGCAGGCTTTGCTCTGGTCACGGACCTGGGACCTTCCCAACACGGAGTCAGGAGGAAAAAGAGGACAATGTCCTCTAGTCAAAGGGCAAGGTCCGGGATCCTGAGAACTCTGTAGCATAGCCAGGGTTGCAGAAAAGTTTGTTGGTGTCACTGACACTGGGGATACACTGATTGTCTCCATGGTACTTGTGAGGCTCCTCTGGCAACATGATCTGCTTCGCCCCACATCTCCTCACCTCGCCTTAGTCATGCTCTGGTCATGCTCTGCTGCCCCTCCACACCTTATTACCTCTGGCCCTGCCCGACCAGCTTCCTTGGCAGTGGGGAGATGATGGTAGATGAACCTGAGTGTCTACCCCATTTTGTCCTCACCTTCTTTTCAGCTATTTGGCTCCCTCCCCTTGGTTCTGGGGTCATCCTCTTTCCCTTAATTATCTCTTCAAGTCACTTGAGGCACTTTTTTACCCTTTGGCCATAGCCTTATCATGATCCCATAAAACCCCATTATATTCATGCAGAAGTGTGTTCGCATTCTCACATGCTGTTCCACCACACCTAGCTCGACTCTGTACCGTGAGCTCTATTTATTACAGTGCAGGACTATGTGTAGAGAAGGTAGCAAAATATCATTGGACATCCTGCCACTCCTGCTGGGGTGGGCAAAACATCGTGACTCAAACTTGCCAAGGGGAGCTGCTCCAAAGCCAGCAGATCTAGGTGCACAAGGTGTTTTCCTGAGACAGAGAAATGCCAGAGCAGCGAAGAGACCCACCAGGAGCTGGAAGCCCTCATGGGAGATGCTGATGAAGTGTAGACCTTGCCAGAGCAACCACGACCACCTCCTGCCTATAAAAAGTAGCCAAGGGAGTGTGGGCAACAAGAAGTGCAGCAAACATGGTTGGACTAGATGATCTTAAAGGTCTCTTCCAACCCAAATGATTCTGTGATTCTATGATATTCAGATGCTCTTCAACCCTCAGGTTGATCACTGGATCACCATCCAGTGATCTTCAAACTAACCAGGTGCGTGTTCCCTGCTGGGTCCCTTTCTGCAGGCTTTGTTCTGGTCATGGACCTGGGGCATTCCCAACACGGAGTCAGGAGGAAAAAGAGGACAATGTCCTCTAGTCAAAGGGCAAGGTCCGGGATCCTGAGAACTCTGTAGCGTAGCCAGGAGCCAGGGTTGCAGAAAAGTTTGTTGGTGTCACTGACACTGGGGATACACTGATTGTCTCCATGGTACTTGTGAGGCTCCTCTGGCAACATGAACTGCTTTGCCCCACATCTCCTCACCTCGCCTTAGTCATGCTCTGGTCATGCTCTGCTGCCCCTCCACACCTTATTACCTCTGGCCCTGCCCGACCAGCTTCCTCAAAGGACAGAGCTCCTCTACACTCAGGGCCACTGAACAGGAGCACCACAGCAAATCCCTTGAAAATCAGCGCCAGAGAGAAGATGGCACCACAGGCAGCCCCTCCTGGTGGGTCACTGTCACATGTCACTGATTTCACCCAAAGCTCTGTCTCCACCAAACTGCATATCCGTGAGATACATTGGAAAGCACACAGGCAGGGCAACAGGGAGAAGAAATAAAGTCTCCTTTAAAAACTTCTCAGCATTACCAGAAAACAGTTTTTGAGCTGTACACAGTCAAAGCTGGAACACCACCACTGTGTAACTTCTGTGAGAAGAAAGTAATCTTGGGGGACAGGAGATAAGAGAAGAGCAAGCACAGGAAAAGAATATGTTGTCGGGGTTTTTTCATAGCACGAGACAAAAGTGGTCATAAACCACTTAAAGACAGAGATGGATATAGACTAGAACAGAGTAGGATAGACCCGATAGTTCCCAGAAAGATTTGCACTTTCTTCTAAGATACCAACTGCCACAGCATCTCTCAGTTTCCTGGAACAGACAAATTATTGTGGTCCTTCAGCACAGCCTGACAGCACCACTTTCTGTGCACAAAGCACCATGACACGCTTCCATTCAAAGCCACCAGCACTAAGGTGAAAATTCTGCTGCCTGTTGACATCTTTGCTCACCACTTACACTGCATATCCGTAGATACATTGGAAAACACACAGGCAGGGCAACAGGGAGAAGAAATAAAGTCTCCTTTAAAAACTTCTCAGCATTACCAGAAAACAGTTTTTGAGCTGTACACAGTCAAAGCTGGAACACCACCACCATGTAACTTCTGTGAGAAGAAAGTCATCTTGGGGGACAGGAGATAAGAGAAGGGCAAGCACAGGAAAAGAATATGTTGTTGGGGTTTTTTCATAGCACGAGACAAAAGTGGTCATAAACCACTTAAAGGCAGAGATGGATATAGCAATAGAATAGAACAGAGTAGGATAGACATGGTAGTTCCCAGAAAGATTTCCACTTTCTTCTAAGATACCAATTGCCACAGCATCTCTCAGTTTCCTGGAACAGACAAATTATTGTGGTCCTTCAGCACAGCCTGACAGCACCACTTTCTGTGCACAAAGCACCATGACACGCTTCCATTCAAAGCCACCAGCACTAAGGTGAAAATTCTGCTGCCTGTTGACATCTTTGCTCACCACTTACTGTTTCTTCCATCCCATCTTTTTTTTTTTCTCACTCAGTTGAGTGTCTCAAATTTAAAAAAAAAAAGAAGAAAAAAACCCAAACAAACAATTCAAAGGACTGTTTTTAAGAGAGGGTGAGAAGACCATGCCAGACAGTCAACGGAAATCACTCCTTCTTGCAAGTGTGAGGCTGTTTTAAGGGCTGCATCTGCTCTGGCTTTCTCTTTAGTGAGCACAGGAGATGAAATCAGGAGATGTTGCTGTGACCTCCCAAGTTTCCCCACAGCCCATCTCCATGTGACACATCAAGCAAGCATTGGGCATCACAGGTGATGGAGGGGGTCAAAATACCCTCCATTTAGGTTCAAGCACCGAGTACTCCTTTGCAAGTCTATTTAATGCTCTAGCAGGTGCCTCTCTTGATGGAGGGGGTCAAAATACCCTCCATTTAGGTTCAAGCACCGCATTTGAAGACCTGAAGCAAAGCAGCTGCTTCTCTTAGGTGTCCAGAGCCTCAGGGAGATGTGCTGAGCTCTGCAGAGCTCCTTCCAGCACCTGCACTCTTACAGGAAAGACCCAGCCTACTCCTGAGCTGCTGCCTCCTCATTGCCACCACTCAGACCCACTGCTGACATGTCTGCGAGAAGCTCTGCCCACATCCAATCCAAACTATTCTATGATTCTAAGACACCTCCAACCCAGGCAACGTGGATGGCTTCTGCAGACATGCACCCCATGTCCCTGCCCAAAATGCAGCACAGGCACCAGCTGGTACCCACCTCAGCTGGAGAGCAGCCATCCCTTGTTTCATCTGCCAGGTCGGTGCCACTGGTCTCAGGCAGCAGGATGCAGAGCAGCCCTCCCACCACAGGGGTACTCCCGAAGATGGCCATGGGGATGGCCCGGTGGTACTCGCTCAGGAGGCGGATCAGTGGGGCCACGATCCCCGCCACCCGGGCCGACATGGAGCACAGCCCCACACCGGTCTGCCTGGGGGAGTGAGGGAGAGTGGGAGGTGTGGGCAGGGCCTGGTATCCCCTGGGCCACCGTGGGACTGAGTGCCACCATGGGGACATCCAGGTTCTTGCCCCACCACTGCCACCAGCCATGCTGGAGGGAAGCCCTGATGTGTGGGGAGACCTCACCTGATGACAGTGGGGAAGAGCTCTGCGGCGTAGACATAGGAGGTGGAGAAGGAGGCCGAGGCAGTAAATTTGCCAATGGTGGCCAGGACGGTGGTCACTACAGGCTGGTCTGAGGGGAGGAGGAGAGACCACTGCTGTGGGATGAGGGAGGTCCCAGCACCACTCGGGGTGGAGGCTGACAATGCATGGTGACAACTGTGTCACCTACAGGGAGCCATCACTTCTGAAGAAGTGTCTGAACAAGGACTGAGGAGCAGCTCTGCCCTGGGGCCCACCAGCAGCACATTTTGCATCTCATTTCCCCACGTATTAATTTTCCCAGAGGACAACTCTGCTAACAGGTGGCCTCCCAGGCTCAGCTCTACCCTCTCCTATTGTGATCAGCAAGAAAAACTTTGCTGATCAAAATGGGCCTTGGGGGAGTCAACCATGCGGCCAAGGCACCAGGGTCAGCTCAGACCCTGAGAGACATGAGCCAGTCTGGTTGGGAGGACAGGACTTGCACCAGCAAGGGAAGGGTTGGGGCCCTGTGCCTTCCTGTCCAAGAGGTCAGCCTCTCAGAATGGGAAGAGGTTGCTCACCTTCAGGGATGCCAGTGATGATCAAACACACCAGGCCACTCAGCACCAGGAGAACAACCTGGGTTTTCTTCCTCCCGAACCACTGCAACAAGAAGATACAACCAACACGGGCTGGGATTTCCACTGCTCCAAAGGCAAGCTGTGTCAGGTAGATGTCCAGACCAAAATTTGTCACGTTCAGACTCAACCCGTAGTAGACAAGACTGTTCACAAACCTGAAAGCCAAGCAGGACAGCAATGAGCACATCTATTGGCCATGAGCAAATACAATATTGATCTCCAGTGACAACATTTTGACCAAGCCATATAATTTCCAAGAGGACATAAAACCAGACGAATACCAAAGGACAGCCAAAGCTGGGATGGCTCTAACGTTTCCCAAAAAGCACATGTCATCTTGAATAGGCAGAAATGGAAACACCCATCAATAACCCAAAAACCACAAGGTGAATGTACAGTTATGACTATCAATCCCTTCTTTTCTTCACATAGAAGTTTGGAAAGAGGGGACAAGGGGATGTCTTACCAGGCACACGACATAATTAATGTCACATTCCGGAGGTGCTTCTTCCGAAAGAGATCCAGAGTACTTCCAGACTTGGTCTGTGTCTCAGGCTTCAGCTGCAAAACGCAGAAAGCCAGAGTCAAACCAGGCAAAGGAAACCCATGGCTATCTCCCTTTCCATCTGCAGTCAAAGGGAAGCCTCAGCGCAACAGGCTTGTGACCCCAAACTGTTCTGGAAGGGAAGGCAGCCCAGTGGGACTGGGCTCCCACATCTGCTCTGGTTGCCCAACACACTGGTTTGGTGACTAAGAGGTCCCTTGGGATGGGCATTTCCCCAAGGTAGGGACTTTGAAGTGGGCAAGGAGGTAAGCTCCCTTCAGGCATTTCCACACAGAAACCCACAAACTAAACAGTGACCTGGTGCTCATCCTCAGCACTCCTGAAATCCTGACAGAAGAAAAGCCAGGGAAGCAGTTGAGTCCTTTCCAAATCCCAAGGGGAACTCCAGAAAGCTCCAAGTTGAGCCTCAGCAGAAGCTCTGCCCCTTCCCTGACCTGGTCTCTGGTACAAGGCAGCTGGAGCTGGAGCCCTCCACGGTCCATCCCCAAGCCATCCCCAGTGGGCATGGTAAGAGGTTGCCATTTAGGTTCAAGCACCGCATTTGAAGACCTGAAGCAAAGCAGCTGCTTCTCTTAGGTGTCCAGAGCCTCAGGGAGATGTGCTGAGCTCTGCAGAGCTCCTTCCAGCACCTGCACTCTTACAGGAAAGACCCAGCCTACTCCTGAGCTGCTGCCTCCTCATTGCCACCACTCAGACCCACTGCTGACATGTCTGCAAGGTGCTCTGCCCACGTCCTACTTACTGGATGGAGAAGAAAAAGGCAAATATAGGAGCAGATCCTGCAATCTGCAGCAGCCTCCAGTTGCGAATACCATAACTCAAACCAGCCAAAATCATCTGCCCAATGGCAAAACAGCAGTGAGAAGTAAGCACCGCCTTCGGCCGGGAGGAGACACCAATCCATTCTGTAGCTGAAAAGAAGAATTATGGTTCAGAGCTACCCATGCAAATGATTTCCCCGGATACAAACAGGGTGTTTTCCCTGGAGAAGAGCTCTCCAGAAGGTTAGGAGAGGCCAGCAGTCAGAGCGCTGGTATCAGCCACACATGAAGTCACCAGCATTCCATGAGATGCATCACCTCTCCTTATTGTCAGGCTGTCCTGGGCCTCTGCAAGAGGACATGAGGCTGAGGTACCTCACCACTCTCCTCTCAGCATCCACACAGCCCCTCACTGGGGCAGAGCCGGGGCCCAAATCAAGTCCCAGAGCCACGGGGCTCCATCCTCACACTGACCTCCTGAGCTGGGAGGCTGTCCCCTTGCCCTCCACGGGGCACTGCCATGGGACAGATTCTCCCCATGGCTCTCGCTCAGCGGTGGAGAGATGCCAAAGTGCCAAAGGGCAGTGCAGAGCGAGACCTGTCCTCACCTCAGGATTTTTCAAGTCATACATGATGACTTTCCTTTTTTTTTTTTTTTAGGCCTTTCCTACTGCATTTTGAGAGGCCACATCTCTCTGCCCCAGGGCAGGGGTGTCCTACTCACCCAAGGCCAGTATCGTCATGGTGATCCCTGACACCGAAGCCCCCACGACACACCTGAAGGCCATGTACACGTAGAAATGGGGCACCAAGGCAATCCCTACACCAAACAAACCCTGGAGGAAGACGGAGATCAGAATGATGGGCCGGCGGCCGATCCTGGGGAGGAAGAGGGAAGAGAGAGTTGGTATCTGGAGAGAACCCCCTGGAGATGGGGAAGAGCCCAGTGGGATGGTATCGCCCTATCTTGAGGGTGCTAATGCTCAGACCAGACTCTGGAGCGACCCTGTGCACCCTCTGTGCCCTTCTCCCTTCCACCCACTGTGTGGCCTTGTCCTCACGGGACCTGAGGACTTTGGTCAGGGTCCCTATTAGTAAGGAGCAGTGACATAATTCCCAGGGTGCAGAGCCCAGCCAGGCTGGGAGCTGCGTGTCGCTCTGAGCACCACCCGCTTTGCTCAGGCCCTGGAGGGGTGGTTGTCTCTCCTCACCTGTCACTTAGTGGCCCAAAGATCATGGATCCAAGGAACAGACCCAGCATGTAGACCGACTGGGCGATGTCGTGCAGCTCCTTCCTGTCACATACTAGGTCGAACTGGAGGGAGGAAATACAGAATCACAGAATCTTCTAGGTTGGAAGGGACCTTAAAGATCATCTTGTCCAACTGTCAACCTAACTGACAAAAATAGACACCCACACAACAAACAAGGAGCATCATCACTAAACCATACCTCCCAGCGAGGATACAGATGCTTTTGTTCTCGTGGGGCTCCAGATGCTTTCTCATCCCACTTCCAAGGATGTGAGTCTCCACGGTACACACATAGCACCCAAGTCAGAGGTGGGACAAGCCCGTGGGTCACTCAGTGGTGCCCCTCTCCCAAGCACTGGGACCTACAGGACTCCCCCCAACCCAGGCATCCCCAGGAGAGCCTCCTGCTTGGGATGTTTTGCTTAAAGTGGGACTTGGGACAGAAGTCCCAGCACCTCGCTTCTCCTAGACTGCCCTCCCTCCCAAAGGAAGAAGGATGACTGCAATACGAGTCCCCCATTTTCTTTAAGAGATGATGTTCTGCAGCTGCCAGCATCCAGAGGACATCTATACAAAGAGTCACACAGAAGGCATCCCCAGGAGAGCCTCCTGCTTGGGATGTTTTGCTTAAAGTGGGACTTGGGACAGAAAGTCCCAGCACCTCGCTTCTCCTAGACTGCCTTCCCTCCCAAAGGAAAAAGGATGAGTGCAATGCGAGTTCCCCATTTTCTTAGAGATGATGTTCTGCAGCCAACAGCATCCAGAGAACATCTATACAAAGAGTCACATAGGGAAGATCACATACAGGCTCCACAGAGAGGTCAGGGAGCACTGAGAGAAGTTCAGCTCTGCTCACTGCAGCATTCCTGGTGCTGCTGAAGCCCCTGGTGACAATCAGATCTGTGGCTTTGCAGGCTCTCCTCTCCTCATCAGACCCTGCACCTCCACACAGAGGGAGGAACGGTGAGGAACTTGCTCTGTTCAGGACAACCCTGAGCTGGAGTCTCCACACTGACACCCCGGGACAGACACCCCACAGCTGCTTGCGAGAAGATCACATACAGGCTCCACAGAGAGGTCAGGGAGCACTGAGAGAAGTTCAGCTCTGCTCACTGCAGCATTCCTGGTGCTGCTGAAGCCCCTGGTGACAATCAGATCTGTGGCTTTGCAGGCTCTCCTCTCCTCATCAGACCCTGCACCTCCACACAGAGGGAGGAACTGTGAGGAACTCGGTTCGGGACAACCCTGAGCTGGAGTCTTCACGCTGACACCCTGGGAGAGACACCCCACAGCTGCTTGTACTGATGATTCCCCAGCATGTGTGGGAGCAGAAATTAAGCATCAGGGTGTCCAAAGCACAAAATTGTGCACAGGGACAAGCTGGGAGGTTACCCTCAGTCTGCAGAGGGGCAGCTAGACCCAAAAGGTCCCACCAGAAGTGATTAATCACAGAACCACATGGGGTTGGAAGGGACCTCTGGAGATCATCTCCTCCAACCCCCTGCCAAAGCAGGTCCACCTGAGCAGGTTGCACAGGAACATGTCCAGGCGGGTTTTGAATGTCTCCAGAGAAGGAGACTCTACCACCTCAGATGATCAGATCCCCCCTCAGCCTTCTCTTCTCCAGACTAAAAAGTCCCAAGTCCCTCAGCCTCTCCTCGTAAGGGAGATGCTCCAGGCCCCGAATCATCTTTGTAGCCCTCTGCTGTGCCCTCCCCAGCAGTTATCTGTCCTAATCTCTCCACTGGCTCTGCCTGTGGCAGCCTGCCCACACACCACCTCTCCAGAACCCCCCCGGGGACTGGGTGGTGGAGCCAAAGTCCTCCCAAATACACCTGCAGTAGATCTCAGCCCAGCCAACTTGCACAACAACTGGCACAACAGAACTGCAGGAGAGGGCTTGGGTGTCCCTTCCCTTCCCCATCCCCAGAACATCAAAAAGCAGTTACCATCTGTATTGCAGCCTGCCCACACACAACCTCTCCAGAACCCCCCCTGGGGACTGGGTGGTGGAGCCAAAGTCCTCCCAAATAGACCTGCAGTAGATGTCAGCCCAGCCCACTTGCACAACGGCTGGCACAACAGAACTGCAGGAGAGGGTTTGGGTGTCCCTTCCCTGGTACACACATAGCACCCAAGTCAGAGGTGGGACAAGCCCGTGGGTCACTCAGTGGTGCCCCTCTCCCAAGCACTGGGACCTACAGGACTCCCCCCAACCCAGGCATCCCCAGGAGAGCCTCCTGCTTGGGATGTTTTGCTTAAAGTGGGACTTGGGACAGAAGTCCCAGCACCTCGCTTCTCCTAGACTGCCCTCCCTCCCAAAGGAAGAAGGATGACTGCAATACGAGTCCCCCATTTTCTTTAAGAGATGATGTTCTGCAGCTGCCAGCATCCAGAGGACATCTATACAAAGAGTCACACAGAGAAGATCACATACAGGCTCCACAGAGAGGTCAGGGAGCACTGAGAGAAGTTCAGCTCTGCTCACTGCAGCATTCCTGGTGCTGCTGAAGCCCCTGGTGACAATCAGATCTGTGGCTTTGCAGGCTCTCCTCTCCTCATCAGACCCTGCACCTCCACACAGAGGGAGGAACTGTGAGGAACTCGGTTCGGGACAACCCTGAGCTGGAGTCTTCACGCTGACACCCTGGGAGAGACACCCCACAGCTGCTTGTACTGATGATTCCCCAGCATGTGTGGGAGCAGAAATTAAGCATCAGGGTGTCCAAAGCACAAAATTGTGCACAGGGACAAGCTGGGAGGTTACCCTCAGTCTGCAGAGGGGCAGCTAGACCCAAAAGGTCCCACCAGAAGTGATTAATCACAGAACCACATGGGGTTGGAAGGGACCTCTGGAGATCATCTCCTCCAACCCCCTGCCAAAGCAGGTCCACCTGAGCAGGTTGCACAGGAACATGTCCAGGCGGGTTTTGAATGTCTCCAGAGAAGGAGACTCTACCACCTCAGATGATCAGATCCCCCCTCAGCCTTCTCTTCTCCAGACTAAAAAGTCCCAAGTCCCTCAGCCTCTCCTCGTAAGGGAGATGCTCCAGGCCCCGAATCATCTTTGTAGCCCTCTGCTGTGCCCTCCCCAGCAGTTATCTGTCCTAATCTCTCCACTGGCTCTGCCTGTGGCAGCCTGCCCACACACCACCTCTCCAGAACCCCCCCGGGGACTGGGTGGTGGAGCCAAAGTCCTCCCAAATACACCTGCAGTAGATCTCAGCCCAGCCAACTTGCACAACAACTGGCACAACAGAACTGCAGGAGAGGGCTTGGGTGTCCCTTCCCTTCCCCATCCCCAGAACATCAAAAAGCAGTTACAGACCTCGGTCAGCAGGGATGGTGGTTCTGCTGAGGGGTACACCCAGCCACTGCTGCATTTCTCCGTGGTGTTCAGGCCGTAGGTCACGATGGAGTCCAGGTCCCAGTCCACCGGTGAGTACATGGAGCACTGCTCGAAGGACCCCTCCGCGTCCCGGGGCAGGGTGAGGTTGAGCTGCTCTTCCTCGGTCAGGTTGGGGCCCACGGCACGGATCCAGCTGGTGTCGCAGTGATGAGGCACATGGGGGACCATGAAAAGCTGGCAAAACTGGTGGAAAGCCACGCTGAGGCAGGGAATGACGGAGAGCAGCACCAGCCGTTTCTGGAACGGCCCAAAATCACCAACCGCTTTCAAAATTTCCCCGACGCCTGACATTGGCAGCCACGTATGGAACAGGACAGTGCTGGGACAGGCTTCCCAGAGGGCTGGAATTAATGTTTAAACCTAAGATAAGCTCTGCAGTCATAGGCGGCCACCACAAGTATGTAAAGACAGGGTAGACTTAACGCCTGATGTTTTACGTGTCCCAAGTGCACCGTGTAATACATTAATCACCTCTGTGCCACCCACGAACTCACCGGGCCTGCTGCCGGCTGGAGCAGGAGGACCTCTGTTTCTGGCAACCTGGGTCACCCCCTCTGCCAGGGCCAAGGTGGTTCAACAAGGGAAAAGGCTCTTCTCCAAAGGAACTGCAAGCGCTGCGTTTGGTGAACTGCCGAGATGGTGGTCCCCAGCGGTTCCACTTGGGCAACCAAGGGTCAGAGGGACCAAGACATGATGCAGACCTGGGAAAAGTCCAGGGGAACAGAGCAACCAGGAACAAGCTACGCATGAGATGTCCACCCTTCCCACCAGTTCCAGGCCAACCTAGGGGCTGGTGGGGACTCTAGACGGGGAAGACTCGGGGAAGGTGTTACAGGGATGGGAGAAACCTGACACAGGGCAATGCTGCTCGAGGCAGGTTTGGCAAATCTCAGCTCAAATGACCATTGAGAACAGGAAAACAGCTCTGTTCAGCCCATCCCTGACCTAGGGATGCCTGGGTCCCCTTTGGGATGTCCATGAGGCAAAGCCTCCAAAAGTGCCCAAAAGCGACAAACCTCCTCCCCAAGACACACCATCCAGCCCAATAAGCACAAACCAAACACATGGCAATGGACAATTTGTTCTTTATTGATTAAAAATTAGAGACATGCAGTAAAATACAAAGTCCAAAAAAGGAAAAAAAGCCTGAATATTTTACATCTTTCGTTATAATCTACAATACACCAAAGTTGTGAAGAGGATCCGTTTTCATTAACAGAGCATTGTCCTTAAAAGTAGGAACTAACTTAAAATTACCACCTGCTTCCAGGTTCAGATCAGAAATTTGCACAAAAAACCAAATTCTTAATGACACTGGAAAACAATTATGAACAGCATTGGCACTTACTGGAACAACATCAGAGAAGACAGTTGTCTAGAACTGTAATAGCCCAAGGAAGTATTTTGGATCCCTGCCCAAAACATCTGGAGATCTACAGAAAAAAAAAAAAACATCAGTTTCTTCCTTACTTATTTTCTCCATTTAAGAACTGAGGAGCCTTGGGTTAGTGTGAGCTCAAGCTCTTTAAGTCCTGGCTTTGGGAAGGTGGGAAATAACTTAATAAATAGAGATGTTGCATTGTTCCATTTGAGCAGTTTCGAGTCCTACCTCTCTCAGCACCAGTACAGAAATGAACAAGGGGGTCCCCACGGCATGCAGGCAGGAGGGAAAATAATACTGTACCACATCTACCTTGTCTCCCTGTCCTCAGGGTTTCCGATACATCCCTATCCACCTACAGGGTGACAGGAAAATTCAGATGCCAGCCTGCTCTTCTCGAGCCAAGAAGCTCGATGGAGGAAGCCACAGGGAGTGCTTCATGTCAGACAACAGGAGAAAGAGCCGGAGGTGCCACAAGTATGTGGCCAAACTCAGCCACCACCGACTCCCTGGGCTTGAGCATCTACTTCTTGGGCTCTTGAGAGCATCTGCTCAGCACCCAGGGGTGGCTCTTTCTCCCAAACCCTTCCTCCTCTCCCTCCGCTTCATCCTCACTGGCCACAGGGCTGCAAAAAGCCCATGGGGACATGCCCAATATCCACCTAGAGGCTAAAAGCAACAAGGGGGGTATAAAAAGAACATGCACAATTCAGGAAGCTTCCACAGCTGCTCATAGAGAACAATATATAAATACAGATTGTTCATCTGAAGACTTGGAAATTAAAAAAAAAAAAAACAGAAAGAAAAGAAAAAAGTTGTAATTGAACCCAGTCATTCCGCTTTAACACTCTGTTTCTGCATTGTTTGTGGCTGATGGAAACCAAACACGTTTCCATCTGTGTGTTAAACGACAGGCTTACAATTTTTGTGTAGAAAACACTCCAGAGCCAATAGCAGTTACAAAGGCCAACTGTGAAACAGTAGGAAACAACAAAATAAAAAAAAAAAAACAAATCAACACCATTTATTATTCACATATTGCATTACAAGTGTCTCTTATCAAACTCCGAGTATAATTTATATTATTCATGTAGAAACTCAAATTCAACACCACATAGAGAAAGAAAAGCTAAATAGGTGTGTGACAGGGTTTCAGTGACATCCTGATCAAACGTGGAGGCTCGGGCCCAGGAGAAGGCCGGCGACCCGAGCGGTTAGTGCAGGAGGGACACAGCCCGGCGCTCGCTTGCCCAGTACTACCACTCTACTGGCAACTGGTTATTGCTGTAAAACACGACAGGGGTGGTTCCACGGGTACCAGTTTGCAAAGGACTGGGAAACACGTCAGGAATCGGGGTGGGGAGGGGGGGACACTCGCGCAGCCAGGCAGAACAGAGCGGGTTTGGGGAACAGTCCAAAGCGCGTCTTTTCCAGCCGCAGAGCGACACGGAGCTCTCCCTCTGAGCACGAGGGGTTTGTGGATCATCTGAAAGACCAGTTTTTCCAGACAGCAGTGCCTCATTGCTCTGCTTCAAGAACAGACTACGTCTAAGATGCAGAACGAGAAGACGTTTTGAGGAAGGACTGCTTAACGTAAATTAAAAGGTTCAGCCCTCATGCCAGGCCTGGCACTCATGTGGAGAGAACCAAAATGGTTAAAAAAAAAAATAAAATAAAATAAAATTAAGGCAGTTTACAAAGGGAAGCTGACTTCTAACACCTCAAAGTCAAGGAACTTCTCAAAAACACAAACACAAGGGAAGGCAGCTCTCCCTCCCGCGGGTTAAGACTTGGCTTGCTTTCTCAGGTGCAAGCATTCAAACCAGCACTTTTAAAAAACACACAGCTGAAGAGAAGCAGATTTCTCAGCACTCCAGGTGACCCAAACAACGTGTACATTGGTGTTTCAGATAGGAGGAGAAGCAGGTAAAGAACAAAACAAACAGAAAAAAAAATGATCCGTTCAGTATTAAAACTTGTGCAAAAATAGCAAGTGAAAAAAAAAATTGAAACCACATGTAAGCAAACATTTAGGCAAGATCATCAGAGCAGTGGAACCCCCTGCTTCGTACTCAGTAGTATTTTTCTTTAAAGTAAGGCAATAATAAAATGAACATGCAGGCAATGATGTGTTGGATCTGCATGTTTGAGATGACAGATACAAAAACATGAGAGTTGTTTACAAAAGGTGTAAACGCCATCGGTAATTTCAGGAAGGTTTGTGATCCTATTAAGGAAAAATGTTAAAGCTTCTAGGAAGGGGCTGTAGTTCAATTCTTTGGCAGTAGTGGTTTTTTTTTTTCTTTATTTAGGCTAACAGAAGCATTACGAATATGCACATGTGGGTTCTCGGTTGGGAAACGTCTCCTGGGACCATGGTTTAGCTGATGCTGAGCTGTGCAAATCCTATAAGTTTGCCATCATCAGGAATATCTGAGCCTTCGACACCAGATGCCTGAAACACAAGGAACAGAGATCCCAATAGCAACACACACGCTCTGCCCTCAGACCAAGGTGTATCCCACACGGCCTGGGGAGGGAGCAGCCACAGGGCAGCTTTGCACTGAAGGTGTATCCCACACGGCCTGGGGAGGGAGGAGCCACAGGGCAGCTCTGCACTGTATTCAGCAGCTCACACTACCCAAAGTTAAAATTGAGGAGGGTTTTATCATTATTTTTGCCTTTTTTTTTTTTTTGAAGCTAGGAAGGGCTGGGACTGAAGTTTTGCCAATGCCTGCTCTGACTGGGGCTTCGTGCACTAACTGGGGCAAACCAAGTGAAAATTCCTTACAGAAAGAGTGAAAAAATAATGGCACTTACTACTTCACTATCAATAAACTGGTTACACCTTTGCTTTGCCGCTATAACTACCTCTGAAGGATTAAGCTGCTGTTAATTCTCCTCCCCAAAACTTAGTTTTGGTTCTCTTTTTTTTTGCTCCCCACTCTTTTTTTCCTTCATTTCGTTCTCAGAGACCACATATTTGGACCCTCCCCACTCTCCTTCTCCAAGACAGGAGGCCATGGCATTTCTTAGCCCACTTACCTGCCCTGAAGCATTTCTGCCCTTTCTGGGCAAGGGCACATTCCAAGCCCAGAAAATACCCTTTTGTAATATTTTTATATTAGCTAATTAGCCAGGATAAGGGAATGTTTGTATTAGCACATCATCTCACACTTATCTAACCCAGGTGCTGCTCAGAGGGCACAAGCAGGGAGCCTGCATGGCCTACTCTTAGACAATCAGTAGGAATCTTTGGGGGAAAAAGGGAGGATTTAGAGTGCATACATTAGATGCCTGCAGCAGACAGCCCAGGCATCTATATGCACGGCAAGTGACAACTTGTTGAATTAGGGAACAGGAATAAATACCAGTTTGAAAGTGACGGATCTGTTTGCTTGGGGCTCTTCCACAATTTTCTGCAAATTAGCTGCAACTGAAATCACACACACACACAAAGAAAATGGGCAAATATTAGGACAGGCTATAGAAAAACATCCCAAACTCATCAGGCCTCTTTCTATTACTCAGCAAACTCAGAACTTTTTTTAAATGATAAAAAAGTTCAGGTCTCAATTAGACTCAGCGTACTTATATCAAATAAACTGTGAAAATGCTGCCATTTGGAACTATGCTTCTTTTTCAGAGGTAGTTATTTTGTTCCTGGACGTGGTGGGATTCATAGTTATAAATTGCCCAACTGCACCTGGAAATCCAGTTAATTTTACACTAGCAGCCTTTCCAGGTATTCCTGTGTATAAGGAATAGTTTTGCTTGCTGTAGTCAAGACATATAGGCAGCGCTGGCAGTTTGCAAGTCTCACTGGCCACACAGGACACATTTATTTGGCAAACTGTTGCTAGAGGAAGGCTGTTTGTACCCGTACAACACGTGCTGCTGCCCCAGTGCGTGTGCAATTCACACTTCCCTCTCTTAAAACAAAAAAAAGCCTGGCTGATTCCAGTCCCAGACCTCTCTTGCACAGGACCTGTGAGCAGTACAGGCTTGAGCAGCAATTTGGCAATGCGTCTATGTCAGAGGATAATGATTTAGCTGATGCATGGATTAGCCTTCATTTTGCATTATAAGGAACATTTGCTTCATAATGTTTCCAACATAGATGATATTCTGGCATACTGGGGGTTGCCTAAGTGTACTGACATCGAAATGTCACCAGAATCAACAGCAGTTTTGTAGAGCTACTGGGATAAAGAACCCAGGCCACAGCAAACTCTCCAAGTCCCCACTCATTAGGTCATTTTAAACACGCAAAAAATTACTGAAATGGTTAAAACAGAGTAAATAATTCATAATTACCTATTACCAGATCTCTGCCATCGACAAGACCTGCTGAAATGAGTTCTTGAGACACACCATCAGCAGTATCTGTTGGGGAGAAACCCATGAGCCAGTCACCCCATAACAGAAATTGTCCAAATGAGGACAAAACACAAAACTTCCCCTTCACCAAAACCACCTCCATCCCCACCACCAGCTCACCTCTCCCTGGGGTAAATTCAAATCGAATATCGTTGAGCTCTTTTTTTGAATTCCTATGGAAAAAAAGAGAATTTTACATAGAAGAGATCATTTCATCGCACTGATGGGTGCCCAAAAGAAGACTCTGTCGTTGAATGATCAGTCTGTGAAATTCTGACACTACACCCTTCCCCCTCAAAGGGCAAAAACTGATCACTTGGGTGTGCATCTGGAAGGAGGGCTCTCGGCACAGTAGGTCCCTCAATCTGACAGAGCTGGAGTAGGCCAAAGTCCAGGATAACTGGGTGCCACCCCTCTGGTATAAGACCACCTTGTTCCACTGTCTCAGCAACTCATATCTGTCAGCAGATACATCCTTGGAGCACATCTTTGGGAGGAAGAAAGCACTCTCTGACTGCAGATGCACACACATTTTGCAACTGTCCAGGAATGGCTGGGAGGTGACACTCAGAAGTCCCAGTCCAATCCCTATCAACAACCAAGATGCCTACAGAGATGAGAGGCAGGTTCCTTAAATGAGAAACATTAATATATGCAATGGCTGTAGAATGTGCTTACAATCCTTCTTCTGCCTACTTCTAGGGACACAGACCAGAATCCATGTCTTTAATTGGGGATAAGCTCTTCACTCAGAACTGGCTGAAGTTGTGCCCAGATAGAAAGGTGATGGTCCAGCACAAGGCCAGAATCCCTGGATCCCTGATCTCCTTTAGGGAACCCAGCTAATTCTTCCTTCCCACCTCATTAAGAGTTTAGGAATAGTTATGCAAATATCAAAACCTCTAGCAACCTACAGCTCTTGCTAAGATGAAGAAGTGGATGATATAAACTGCTCTTCTGGGTCCCAGTTTTGGAAGAGTGGATGAAAACCAAGCTGACAAACGACATGTAATCATCACCCTTTTAATTAAAAGGAAAGATGCACTACAGAAGCCTTCCAGTGTCCCTCTCTACAAAGACTCATTGTGACAGAACAGGTTGGTTTTGTGTCCTTACCTTAACCTTAGTACAAGGCTGATGGGGACTTTCGTATCTTCCTGTACCGGAGCTGCAGCAGCAGGGGCAGGTGGGGCCTGCAGTAAGATTGCATCATTTTAAAGCAGATTAAACAGTTCCTTTCTCTGGTTTTAAAGCTAGAGATAACTTTGATCAACTATAAACACAAATAAAAGTTTAACTCACCATTGGAGTCATGACACTAGGGTGAAAAAGAAGACAGACTAATAAAACAGGAGAATTTCATGCTTAAATAGTAACCCAGGTGTTCTCTCTGCAATTGTCTTGAAAAGATTAAAAGCTACTCGACTTTGAGAAATGCCTAAATGGCAGGAGACTTCAGAAGCGCTAAATGTAAAAAGGACTGCTTGCTTTGCATCAAAACTTTAGGTTTTATGGCATTCACGACAGCTTCAAAACCTGCTGTGGTTTAACCTCCTGCCCCAAACTTCTCATTTAAAAACCTGATATACCTAGGAAATAATTTAATTGGCAGATTAGCATATACTCAGGGTTTTTTGTGAGATCTTTAAGAATATCTAGCAGCAATTTTACAGTTGCCTATTGCACTTCTAAATTACTTCTGAGTGATTACTGGAATGTGTAATCAAAGCATTTTATATTGGTCAGCAGCAGATTTCAAAGCAGGAAAGATCCAGGTGGTGTCCACCCTTATAGCACTTGTGATACTTCTAGTAAAGGGCTAATTGTTATTAAATCTCCACCAAACAACCCCCAAACAAAAGACAAAGGGGTCAATCACTCTTCCACTGCACAAGTCATTTGTACTGCACATGTTGAGGCAGGGATTTTAAATCTGCAGCAACAAGACACACATAACACTAGGCTGATAATTTAAGCCTAGAAGTCTTGACCAAGTTTTTTCATCTAAATCACTCGCTTGTTCACAGGAGGGAAAAAAATAAGCTTTTTTTTAAGACTAGCATTTTATTCTATCTGTTGGTGCTCTTGCACCGACAACGCAGCTCAGGGCTTCCCATCACAATCTCATTTCTGTTGAAGCTGAAAGCTTCACCAGGTCAGTGCAAACAAACCCAGGCTCACCGAGAAGCCCAGAGGTCTGCAAAACAGTAACCAAGGAACTACAAGAACCAGAGGAGAGCTATAAAGAATAAACACAGCGATACAAAGAGCTATAAAGAAGAACATATTCATTAAAAAAAAGGAGCTATAAAGAACTCACTGACAAAAAGGTATGAAGTTCACCTTAGACAAGCCACCAACAAAGGACCTATTGGGCACTGGTGGCAGGGAGCAAGATACTCTGCTGGTGCAAATCAAACCACTTTCCCCAAGACCAACGCTGCTGTTTCATCTTACCAAGAGTCTTGGCCCTCACTGCTGCTGCTGTTTCAACTGCTGCATAAAATTCAGGGATTAAACACTGGCCCTTTTTCAAGAGATTTAAAGGGGTTTAAGTATTGAAGCTACTTTTAACGTAGCCAAGGATATGTCAGACCCCAACTCCACTATTTTTGGTCAATGACTAATGCAGTGTATTTAACAGTTCTGTAAAGAGGAACATGAGCTGACTGCAGGGAAGCGATACACGTATCTTTCTATGTTATTTTAAATAAAAATAATTAAACATTTCTAGGAAGGAGTAAGTCTAAGGGTCATTTTTCTGACCAACGCTGCCAAGTCTCTTCCTCTTGGGTCTGCCAAAGGGCGATGGCAGCGTGGCCCCCTCCAACAGCAACAGCTTCTTCCCACCAAACATGAACATTAGTGAACATCTTTCATAACAGGTGCCATCATTCAGGAATTTGGCAAACTCTGCAGTGCTTTACTCCAGCAAATCAAAAAACACATTCCAAGTTTCTCAGGAATGATTTGGGTTGGCCCTTCTTCTCTTTTTAACCAAAGTCAGAGCTCTTTCCTGACTTTTCTAGGCCTGTCTATCTGTATCCTACACTTTGAGATGATGTAGCTAAGAATTAAACACAAACTTGTCGAGCTTTCACATTCCCTGTACTTCCCCTCAAAGGTCCATTCTCCCTTCTCTGCTTGAAATTGAAGTGTTTGAAAGCACCCCAAGGTTCAGAGCTTCCTGAAGACGGAGCTTCTCCCCAATTTTTGACATCTACAAGGACAGTTTTAACCTAGGCCTCCCTCTTCTGAAGTCTGGAGAACTTCCATGTTCTAGCTTCTTCCTCAGACTTTTCTCTCCACTCTTAGCCCATAGATGCCAGCGATACTGAGACACATAACAAGAGTCTGTTTGTGCTACACCTTAAATACCAGGAAAAAGCAGCTGCCACTTAAACGAGACTCTCCTTTTTTCTTACCTTTAACCTTGCCTCAAGCCAGAGTCTGCTCCCTAAGTGGCATAAAAAGTCACTGCTTGCCCACAGAATAAGAATGAAAAACTGCTGCACCCACATTGATGGTCTCCGTTTTGCAAGTCACCTGGGATTCTGCATCAGTCACAGCACTAAATCAACTCCAGACAAGCAACTTCCATGACTTCAGACCATTTTAGCACATCCACAAAGCTGAAAGCTTGGTAGGAAGGGTTTCTGATCTTACCTGGGCTGCTGCTGGGGCTGCTGGAGGAGCCTGACTAGGTGGAGGTACAGCAGTTTGAGGTTGTGCAGGTACTTGTCCTGCAGCCTGAGGTAGTTGAGTAGGTGCCTGTGCTGGAGCATTGAGTGAAGGACCTGGAGGCTCAGCTGATGGGAAGAGCTGCAAGAAAAAAGGCATTTTAATGAGTAAAGGAACTCAAGAATTCCGATTCAAACCTCAGCTTTCCAAAAAGGGCTTGTTTGCTGCATAAATCACTTAGGAAAGCTCAATGCCAAGGGCATTCCCAGGCCTTCAGGACACTAACATTGATCCCAAGTTGGTGTTCAAGGGGTTCAATGTTTCCTTATGTCCAGGGACCCTTTCTGCCCCGAGATTTGCAAGTTTTATTCACCAATAAAGAAGGTTAAGAAACAAAGATATCAGAATGACTGTGGATCTTGGACTAAAATTGCACTCTGCAGCTAGCAAGGCTGGATGCACACAGATCACATGGCAGCTTGGACGAGAGCACCCTCTCCTTTAGTTTCCCCCCTTCTCAGAATCTGAGTCCTACTTATATTTTCAAGTAGCCATGCAGTTATAGCAGAGCAACTCTGCTTTGACTTTAGTTCCTTTCAGAGAACGCAGCCTAGCAAAGCATTAAGAGAACTATCGACAATTTATCCCATCATAAAACAAAGGTCAGGGTCAGAGAAATGTGGATATTCAACTGGAAAATGAATTCAGAGCTTAAGTTCTTCAAAATACACATGACAGGTTGGTTTAGGATCAGACTTACTAAAGTCAGCCCCTTGCAAAAAAATAATAATAACCATATGCAATTAATTGGACACTGGGGGAAAAAAGAGCTAAATTAAACTTTAGCCTTTTTTACCTCTTGCGTTATTCAGAACAGAGAAACTAATTTTGGCACAGTGGCCAAGGAAATTCAAACTTGATGGCACTTCTGCAGTGTGTCCTCCAACATACTCCGCTAAGTTGTAGGAAAAAATAAATCACCGGGGCAGAAGACGTCCAAATATATTAAGGGATTTATCACAATGAGGAAATTCATCCCCAAAGCATTCTGGTTTTCAGCTTTTTCTTTGAATTTGGAATTTATGTCAAATTACAATGCCAGTACTGTAGTCTGTCTTAAGATCTCCCTTTATAATCGATCCTTAGAAACAGCTAAAGGAAGAACAGGATGGCCTAACCCAAGAAGAATTTCTAGAAAACAGTTCTGTTTATCTTTCGAGACAGGTAGGGAAAAGATTGACCCAGCGCAGTCGCTGGAAGATAAGCAGTCCCTATCACTGAAAGATAAGATATACTAACATTCCTAATGTAAGAAACACAGGACAGAACCAAAGGCAGGTTATAAATATCAACTGAAGTTTTGATTGCTATCAAATATTACTACAGATTTATTTCACAGTTCCAAGCATAGGTTCCAAACCATGCTAATGTCTACAGTGAATTAGACAATGCAAAGCAGACATTTTAAAGGGGTGTTTTGTTGGTTTCTTTTTAAAGAGGAAATTGGAACACCATTGTCTGTTTAGATTATTCTTGTGACCAATTCATTACCTTTTGCCATAGCAAGTAGAGTTGAAACCAAACTTACCCCAGGAATACCTCTTGGCATTATACAGCCAATGATTTCTTTTATAGGGATGTTTTCAAGTAGAGCCCAGCTAGATACTACCTTCTACTGCACAGAATACTGTTTTCAAAGGTTAATAAAAACATGGTGCTTGAAACAACTAGCAGAAACTCATCATTTCAGGAAGCCCTTTATAATTATAACTTACCTCGGAATTCTGTACAGGCTCTTTCACTCTGGGAGACTGAAAAACAGAGACAAAGCTGTTATTGCCTAAACAGAAGTGAAACATTTTGACTAGAAGGATTTGTCAGAACTACACCAAACATATGAAATATATATAATTGCTTTCAAGTTACATATGTGTATTAAGATGCATAATAAAAGGGACATCATGCAATTTGTTGGCAACCAAATCAGCCACCCAGAAACATACAGTGATGTTTCAGAACCTGCAGTTGATATTCACACAGTGCCATACAATACCCTAAGCTGCCGTCATTGTTAACCGTTACCAAAATCCAGTTCTCTTGAAGATCGCTCCGATTGGCTCCAATTACTTGTGCACCAAGATGGCAAAATCCATTTTAAGCTACCCAAGTCTTGCAGAAAAAAGATAAGCCACACAAACATGCCTTGAATAATTCCACTAGGAAACAAATCCCCTTCCTATACTTAGGAAACTAGTTTGCAAACCGACTTGCTTAAACCATAAAAAACCTTGAGAGGGGAGAGGGGGCTAAAAACCAACCTCACTTGTGCTGTTTTACAGAAAGAAACCTCTTGCCTGCTCTCCTTGTCCTTGGACTCTGCATTACACTTAGCAGAACACTGAGAGCTGGACACAAGTTCAGCAGCAGAACAAAGAGCTCAGAGGAATGGAGGGGAAAGTGGAGTCAAAGAAACGAGACCCGTCTTTGCTTATCAGTAAACCAAAGATAACATGCACTAACTGTTTCACATGAGCAGGAAGGAGTTGCCAAGTACTCCTGGAAATCCCTGCAATTTGACTTCTAACAGGTCCCATCACCCAGGACAGCTGGGATGGCTTGGTCCGTGCTGGGATTAATGAAACAGATGTTCCTTCTCCACACAATGGTCTAAAAGACAGGTTGTAATTAGGACAGTACAAGTTTGACAGAAGAACTAAGTCTCATCGTGCCACTATCTTGAGCCAGTTTATGCACTCACCAACACCACTACCTTAAAAAATGCAGATGGGAGCAATTTGTAACGCATGACCTCCTCATGAGAAGGTTAAAAAGTCTTATTCCCAGAACAGCAAGTGGCAAAAAGCCCTCTAGACAGGAGGAGAAGTAACAGTTCCTTCACGATGACTGTGTGTGCAGACAGTGTCAGGAAAAAAAAATAAAAATCAGGCAGCTGGAAAGGTAAAGCCTGAAATCCATCTCAATATGTTGAGTCTTCACTTGACAGTTACCAGGAAAGATAAAAAACGTGGCACCGCTCCCAGAGATAAACAGCCCCGCTCCACATGTGCAGCACTGTTCTTTCAGGAACAAAGCTCATATCCCAGAGTACTCGGATGCCTCAAGGAATAACTCTAAAAGAGCTCATCTGAAAGATCCCAGTGTGCTCGACACTGTACAGGCAAGTATGGAAACACTGGCCCTGCCCCACAGCTAACAGCTAACCCAGATAAATGACAAACAGCGGTAAAGTAAGTAAAAACATGAAGAGACAGAAAGGAAATAGGGCAAACATTCAAAGATGTTTACCTAATTAAGGCAGAAATAGGATGACTTTGAGGATGTGCTGAAACGTATTAGTTTTAACTGACTTTTGCTTGTGTAATCAGAGATGATGTGAGTTCCCAGTGAAGTGTGACCACACAGGGTGCCACCGCACAGACCCAGTGAATGATTTAAGAGCCCACACAGAACGATCGCTGTCATTCAAATTCAAGGTTTTCAATAAGCAAGAGCAAAGAAGTTTAGTAAGTCTTTATATCCAAAAGGTAACGTTGGGCCAGCAAGTCGCCTTATTCAATGAATTGGGCAGATAGTTCTGGTTGTTTGTAATAAATATTTGTCTGCTTTCACGTGCAGTCCAAGCAAAAGACTCGTAAAATACATGTTTGTACATTTTTTACATTAGGGCTGACAGCAATAAAACACAGGTACAGCCAGAATCACAGCATGGTTTTGTTCAGAAAGGACCTTTAAAGCTCCACCGAGTCGAACCCCTCTGCCACGGGCAGGAATAAAAGGTGACACCTAGTTAGTCTAAATTATTCTATCTTACAACTTAGTTAGAATTGCAGAGGGATTACAAGCAGGGGAAATTTACACCCTGTGTTTGAAATCCGGTCAAAGCACAAGGATTAACACTAGACCTCAACAACAATACTGTGGCAAACACTGGCAGTTTAAACACAAGCCCTATGATTGCTCGAAAAGGGATCAAATGTAAGAGGTGCACAGGCTCTCCCGTCCTTTCATCTTCGGGCTGAAAGAAATTATTCAAAAGCTGTGCATGGGAAAGGCACCCAGGGCAGGATTCAAGCATCCAGGCAGTAAGATGCCATGGTGCCTCTCCTGACCTCCAAAAAGGGTACAGGTTTCCCAAAGTTCTGTGTTATATCTTCAAGGGGTGTCTCCAAAATGACCACATACATCAAAATTTAAGTAACTGAATTGAGATCCACTGCTCCAATACCCATCCTAAAGGTTTCTTGAATGGGAGACCTAAAAGTAAAAGCTGAGCACGGCCCAAATTAGAGCAGTCTGAAGCAATATGCCAAAGCTCCAAGAGAAGAAGAAAGAAACTGGCTTGAAATGGGACTTTTAAACATGTGTATCAATTTGTTCTTTTCTGCCTAAGAGGAATATAACAAGTTCAGAACACAGTAAACAGCGTTAAGTCATACTATCCTGAGCTTGAACATGACAGAACAATAGAGTTAGGGTCTTTCACAATATTCCCTCCTAAAATTTTATTATATTTTAATCTAAAACAGGAATTTAGGAAGGATTTTAGAATTTAGGAAATTAGAAGATCAAGAATTTCAGTAGTATCCACCCGGTACCAAGAGATCCTCCTTGACTGTGCAATACAAAGCTAGATACAGTAATCTCTTTTTAAAGACACTATAGTTGTTGCCACAAAGTATGGAATTACTGTATCACTAGCAGCCATTGAAAAACCCAAGCATTTCAAAGGATGCCAAAAAGATACAAAATCTTGCATTTAAGTGTCTATAGACATCACCAGTAGAAGAAAAAGCAATGAAAGAGAAATGAGAAAAGTAGAAGTCGTAAAGGGATAAATGCTTCAAACCAATACTGCTTTTTTTTTCCTTTCCTATTGAAAAGCTACCTCTAGAAATCCTTCACTGTCTCATTAATTCAATTACAGAATGATTAAAATGCATAGTCCACGTCAGGCTACCTGCTGTAGTGAAAAGGGAACAGGCAAGCCATTACAGTTGAAATCCATACTGCTGACTAGTGGGAGGAAGACAATCTGGAAATTTATTGTAATCTTTAGTCGATCACTATTCGTGGCCTCTCTGGGTTAGTCTGACTTTGTGGGGTTTTTTGTGTATGTGTTGGGAGAGGAGGAGGAATTGATTTTTGCAGGATTTTTAAGTGCTAGACCAATCTCTCTTTGTGACTTCAGAGACATCATAACATTTTTTACTAAGAGTAATGAATTTCAGTGTAACTGAGGAGACAGAACCAGGTCCCGAGCGTTTCAGACATCAGCCATAAGCACGGGTCCTATTGATTTCAGCTCCATCCTGGAGAGGGCAGTAGGACAAAACCTCTCCTGACACTTCCAGAAGGAAGCATCTCAAACAGTCGGCACCCTTAAAAATGAGAATATCCTAAATCAAGTGAGTTACTATGCTGAGCTGGGAGCAGACTGTTTGAATTTTTGTTCCCAATTATGCTCAGCATCCCTGAATGAGACCAGCTGTAACCCAGAAGGATGACAGAAAAGAGATCAATCTGCTTTCTCTGGTTCGGCTACAAACTGGAGGGGAGAGATTGTAGTTTAATGTGTATCATACTTAAAATATGGCAATGTGGTTCCTAGGGATATTTAGACCTACCATAATTAGAAAACAAACCAGAGGCAAGAGAGCTATTGGAGTTTAAGAACCCACCCTGAGCTGTGAAATTGCTGCTCTGCCTTCCTCACTTTCTTCATCTAGTTCATCATCACTCCATTCCCAGCCACCATCTTCAGTCTTATGAAGACGTCCGCTGGAACCTGGGACTCTCCGGACCTGTTCAGCACAAAGACAGAACCAATATGTCAAGCAGACAGTTTCTACAGTTGATCTTTTTTTTTTTAGGAGAAATAGCACAAGAGCATCTTCAGGTTGCACCATGTGCCAGGGCGCTTGAGTATTTTATTGAAATGTCTCGTTCTGTATCTAGAAAATGCCACACTAAAATAATTCTCATTAAAAATGTGAACACAAACATATGAAAAAAAACCAAACAACCTAATATGACTGTAACAGCAAGAGCCCAGGAGGCTTTCAGTACCTTTTTGGATCGTTCAGTGATTGTTGGTGCTCTCTGCAACATCTTCTCTTGCAAAAATTCCTTATTCTGCAAAAGACAAAACACCAAACATTTGCATTGCTGAAAACATCTTTTGATTCCTTTACCGTCTTGATAAATAAACTGTTAAACTACTTCTAGCAGGAAGTGTTCTACATATTTTCTCCCCATTCCTCCAAAGATTTAAACGACTTTCTTCCTTTGGACTACAGCATATGATTTTCATCCTAAATACCTTTTAACTTAGCGGTGGCACCTTCCCTATGCAAAGTGATGGGCAATTAACAACCGAGGAGTTGTATACTATTCTGTCTGATGTTCTGGGGAACATGCTTATACTTATTATATCTCAGCATCTGACACCCTGCTGAGACATTTGGCACTCTTCCATTTGCAGATACTACACCACCTGGATCCAGTTATTTTGCTTTAAACTTGCTCCTAAATTTATGCCTGTCCAACTGTCAAAGGCAAACCCCAGATGTCAGGCCAGGATGCAGGAACTCCTCTTTGCTGGAGTAACAACGCTGAGGAACTGGGGGAGCAGGATTTAGCAGCTGAAAAAATGTACAGCTCTGGGGAAACTCCACCTGGAGTATTGTGTCCAGCTTTGGAGTCCTCAGCAACATGGACCTGTTGAAGTTGGTCCAGAGGTGGCCATGAAGATGCTAAAAGGGCTGGAGGACCTCTGCTGTGAGAACAGGCTGAGAGAGTTGGGGTTGTACAGCCTGGAGAAGCGAAGGCTCCAAGGAGATCTTAGAGCACCTTCCAGTCCCTAAAGGGGCTCCAGGAAAGATGGGGAGGGACTCTGTCAGGGAACGTAGCGATAGGACACGGCCAGGAAAGATGGGGAGGGACTCTCTGTCAGGGAACGTAGCGATAGGACACAGGGTGATGGTGTTAAACTGAAAGAGGGGAGATTTAGATTAGATTAGTATTTCACACCACATACATGAGGTCGGACAACCCTTGCGCCTCTGCCCAAAAAGTGCTCCCACAACTCCCCCGTGATGGTTTCTTGCATGCGGGATGGAAAGCTCAAGACACACGCTGTCACTGTCTGATAAGCAGCTCTTGGCATTATCAAAACATACTTTTATATAACGTAGACTGTCTTTAAATAGATGGTTCAGTATAGACCTATAGACGTTGGACTCTTCTGTCCTCGCGTTACAGCTGCCAGTTTGGCAGTGGCTGATATATGAGTGTTAACAGGCACACATTTTCACTTCAAGGTGCTGGTTTAAGTATTGCCTCATTTACAATAACGTTAATTTTCTACCACCACATATGCTAATATGTTACTCTGCAGCAGCTTAATGAAAGCAGGAAGGAAATTTTACAAACAAAGTAGTATAACATGAACCCAAACTCGCGTAACCAAACGGAGAAAGGTCAGCAATGTGTAAACCATCCTGTCACTTTGGACACCAAGGGTGTATCCAGTATAGAGAAGCAGACCATTCAGTTGCCTAAAATCCCATCTTGGACAATGAAAACCTAGTTAATACTGCCAAGAGCCCAGACATCAATCAAACTTGACCTAAAGCAAACTTCTACATTTCATAAATTGAATCACTCTCCTTGGTTGCACTCCTTAGATTTCCATCAGCTTTAATAGGACAACCAGCTCCTGTACAGATACCTACGTGTGGCCACTTCCTTTGAAGCATCTTAATCTGGGAGATGAAAACTCCTTCGATTAATTGGAGATGCTGCTGTGCTATCTCAGGTACCAGGTATCTTTTTGACAGTTTAATCTGTGTTTTGCCATGTATTTTGATCACAAACATGCCAGAGAAAAAAAATAAGCAAAGAGAAAACATTTCCTCATTCCCATGGAATACAAATTCTCCCTTGTATTATTTCTGTCTGTCTCCCTCAATAGGACATTGCATATGCACTGATCTCCAGGCAGTAATTATATAAATGCACACTGGCACTTCCAGGCTAGAAATGGGAATTTCCTACTATTTTGTATCACAGGATCTTCATTTTCCATAAGGCAACACAGGGTGAAATAGTTTCAGGTAGCCCTCAGCACAGTGGGCCCCATTCACTGCTGTGCATTCAGGCTGATTATAGACTTTACTAAAATATAAGTTCCATTTACTGCCACAGAGACCTTTACGGTTGGACACCCAGCCAGAATGGCACCATTACAAGAGAAGAAAAAAAAAACACCCAAAAGCCACTAAAAGGCATTTAAATGCTCCAGAATTTCTAGGTAATTTCTCTTATAGCAGCATCCACAAGGAGGTACAGAGGGGGTTCATTCTGTTTGAATGTCTGGCCCTAAGCGAAACAGCCCAAACTCAGGCAACAAAGCTGTCACCGCTCTGACTTGTGACAAATCCTCCCCACAGCCTCTGCACACACCAGCTTAGGAAGTGTCTGCTTACCTTTGCTTTCGTGAAAAATTTGTGCCTTAGGAGTTCTGCTGCTGTCGGTCTGTCAATAAAAAACAGATGTAGAAAAGACAATTATAAGTGCTCCCTTTCAACACAACGGTCTTCCAGGTTGTTGCAGCTTGTTGTGACACGGCACCTCCTAACGGCATCGGCTTCTCCTGCACAACACCCCTAAAAATCAGTCAATGTATTCCAAATAAATGTTACACCAGCAGTCTCTTAAACACTCAGTGCATTCTGCTCAAAACCTATTCTGTTCCAAAAGTTGAGAATAACTTCGGGCGGGGGGAGAGAAGTTGCTCCCATTTTGATGCTGAACTTGAGTCTCTCAGAACCAGTTTGATGGGATCACAGAAACAAAATGCTTAAAAACTGCTCTCTCTACTCTGTGCTTGTGAGACCCCACCTGGAGCACTGTGTCCAGCTCTGGAGTCCTCAACATAGAAAGGACATGGACCTATTGGAACGTGTCCAGCCAAGGGCCATGAAGATGATCAGAGGGATGGAGCACCTCCCTATGAAGACACACAGAGAGCTGGGGTGGTTCAGCCCAGAGAAGAGAAGGCTCCAGGGAGACCTCATAGGAGCCTTCCAATATCTGCAGGGAGCCTACAGGAGAGCTGGAGAGGGACTCTTTGTGAGGAAGTATAGAGACAGGACAAGGGGTAACAGTTTTAAATTGGAAGAGGGGAGATTTAGATTAGATACCAGAAAGAAATTCTTTCCTGTGAGGGTGGTGAGACACTGGAACAGGTTGCCCAGAGAAGCTGTGGATGCCCCATCCCTGGAGGTGCTCAAGGCCAGGCTGGATGGGGTTTTGAGCAACCTTGTTTTGTGGAGGTGTCCCTGTCCATGGCAGGGGGGTTGGAACTTGATGATCTTTAAGGTCCCTTCCAACTGTAACCATTCTGTGATTCTATGATTCTAAAATTGAAAGGAAGGATCAGCAACTACAGCAGGAGTGCAGTACTCGCCACATGGCTCTAACCATTCTATGATTCTATAATTCTAAAATTGAAAGGAAGGATCAGCACCTACGGCAGGAGTACAGTATTCGCCACGTGCAAGTAACAGTTATTTCAGAGCTACTTGATTATTTGTGTGCAATTAATTCTGCTAAACACAGGCAAGACAATCAACCTTTGTCTAACAGCAAAGGAACAAATACAAACTATTTTTCCGTTTATGTTGGACTTTAGGATAACTACTGGAAAGTAAAAGACACCCCTTTGTCCAGTTCAGAAGGAGCTTTCTGAAGACTCTGGCCTACACAAGAAAGTGCCAGGTCCTACAGCATTTCCCACACTACAAGCTCTGCTTAAATAGTGACAGAGCTTAATTAGTGACTCGCAAAGGCCGTCCAGCACGTGGTTTATTTCACCTCAGACTACTCTAACAAAAATCATCCACCTTACAGGAAGGGAGCCCCCAAAATAATTAAAAAGCAATTGCACTAATTTCACCTCTCTGAGAACCCACACAACATATTTAAGCGTATCTGATTCTGCAAGTTGCTCATTATGGGCTGGCCTCCTGCTCCCATCATTGGGACGATGACAGTTCACCTCTCTGAGAACCCACACAACACGTTTAAGCGTATCTGATTCTGCAAGGTGCTCATTATGGGCTGGCCTCCTGCTCCCATCGTTGGGACGATGACAGTGGCTGTCAGTGGTCTCGAGAAGAGAGAAAAGGCAGGCCATGATTCAAAGTGATTATTTTTAATTCTGATCAGCACACGTTCTAACCTGCAGGGATAGGATATGCTTTAGAAAGGAGAAAAAAAAAAAACATCATGCTGGGGGAAAAAAAAAACCCTACTATCAGCATTTATCAAGCACTCCACTGGATTCATTAAGCATTTCAAGTGTAAAGCTCGTTAGAAGAGAGAGATCCCATCTCACAATGCATGAGAAGCCTTTGTTCCTGAAGGGAACTGAAAAATGTCTTCATTATTATTCTTTTATGAAGGGATTTTTCCTTTTTCAGAATTAGTTTTCTTACTGAGGAAAAAAAAGAAAACTAAGAGATATAAAACTGGTGTGTGGGAAATGCTTGTTTCTTTAGCTTTGCATTTTAAGGAAAATTATTTTCAGTGTAGGATGAACACTCCTTTAAACAGCTTCATTGCAACTGGGAAATGCTACGACTGTCCTCCACAGAAATCCATCTGAGCTCTCCTGTGGGACAGGCTGGGGGTTTTTAAACAGTGCCATGGGGAGCTGGACCCTTGTGTAGCTGTGAACGATGCCGTAACGTAGCGATAAAACACCATCCTGGGAACCACAACATATGCACCACCCCCTTGGTGGTATTTCCAACATCACCGAGTAGTCAAACTGCTGTTAACAAGGAAGACAAAGCGTCATCAGGTCACTGAAGCAATCTGTATTGATGAAAACACATTGGTAAAATCTGCCGGTGTTTTTCCCGATCTTCCTCCCCCAAACCAAATATTACTTCTAATTAAGCAAGTCAGGACTACACTGAAAGCCTTCTTTGCACTGGCAAATTTTGAAAAGTTTATTTGTGAAGCTTCACAAGCAAACACATATTGCTCAACGTGTAATTCCTGATTTATAAACACAGAGCAGTTTTGCCTGGGAACAAAACATGAACTGCAGTCACCTGCTGGAGGTGGGAAGGGGGAGAATGGGCACGATACACACAGTGGACTGGGATGAACTCTCATTAACCCAAATGGGAGCCGTGTGCCCTGGGCCAGGCACAACGCCAGACTTTTATCCTTAAAAATAAGAACAGCCAAGAGAGTTTGGTGCCACACAGCAAGATTGCTGTGTTTATTATGACAAAGGCTGGAAGGGCAGAGAGTGAACCTGCTTTTTTTTGGGGGGGGAAAAAAAAAGAGGAATAAAATGAGTTTTGTAGTTCTGTTGGTTTGTTTTTCCCATTTATTTTGGTGTTATTTGTTCTTACCTTTTCTCGGGGTCTTTTTGTAGGCACGATGAAATCATCTTCCTAAATGACTTCCCATACTTCTTCAGCATCTCCTTATCTTGCACACCAGTTTCCAAAGACGGAGGATCATTTTGTAGCGTCAGCATTAAAACCTGAAAGAATTATGTCTATTGGCAATGAGATTTTTCTTGGCCTTTGCTAGAGACAGATCTCAGGAACACCATATTTTAGACAAGTATTTTCATCAAGCATCTGAGTCAAGGACTGTTTCATTCCAACGGCTCTCTGAAGGTAGCCTGAGCTCAGAATGAAGTTTCTTACAATTGAGACTGTCTCCTCACATTCAACAGACAGCAAACACTCCCCTACCTTCTCCTCAAAGCAATTATGGGGTCTCTCCTCTTCCCTCTGCTTCCTACATTCACTAACTTCATAGATACAATTATTTTCAAAAACCTTTACACCTCTGCAAATTCTGACTGTCAGCTGAGAGGCTCAAGACTCAAACAACTGGATCTAGAGCTACCTCCTTGGGAAGCCAGACTAATTTATACCCAACAATTTATGCTACCCTTCTCCATCACATCTCCCAGCCCACAGCACAGTCCGTGGGCCAAACACAAGGCTGGGATGTGCTTTCAGGCCTGTTTGGTGTGATTAAAGGTGCAAGCCTAGCAAAAATTCTACCAGCCTTCCTAGTTTAGGATAAGCAGTTGTGCAAGGCATTTGAATCAATTTGATTTTAGTTCTCCCTGCAGGTATTTCTTAGCTAGAAATCAAACTAATGTAAAAGCAGAAGGGCAACATAAAAAAAATACAAGGGTTCATTTCCATGTACCAATGCAACAGCAGGTGAAGACATTTCTTTCACAAGCACCCATAAAGCCAAACTGATTATTCCGTCTACATCACTTAGATATTCTGAAGGAAAGGAAGAAAATTACTCATTTCCATTTTCACTTGTCACCTACATACAGATGAATATCTATTTTTAGAAAAGGAAGCAGCACATAGCACATTTAAATAGCTTTCAACAGCTATATTGCTTAGGGCAGCAAGAGCCCATCAATGTCATTGAAATTATACAGTCCATGACAGAATTCCCTGCTTTTTTCCCCTCCCCTCGGAGGGTCACTTAATGTACGGGTCACTTTGCTGCATAACAAAATTAATCTGCAGTGAAATACAATTACATTCAATAAATAAAACAGAGAATTCCTCTTGCAGGTTGCACAACTGGAACCCACAGCTACTAGAATTGGAGACTGAGAATTCTATCTCCCTTATGATAACACAAGACGCTAAATGGGCAATCTTTGCATCCAGAGCTGCAACCCCCGCACTCCAAACTCAATAAACACAAGTACAGCTTGCAGAAGGTACTGCAAAACACTACCAGTAATCACAGCACAGAAGGAAGGATCGATGAAAACAGCAGCAGCTGCATCAGCAACACATTTCCCTGAACTCCTTGCTGCTCTGCCACTCATATGGCAGAATCACTCATGTGACATGTGCTTTAATGGCACTTCTGAACCACTCAGCTACTCAACAGTCTCTGCAAAGAGACAACACAAATCTTAAAATGGATTCTGTTCCACAAGAGTTAAACCAGTGCAAAGTCTTGGCACGTAAAGTGATACATGGATATATCTGCTCTAATGAGGTAGGAGATACTGGATTCCTGAATTCTATTGTAACTGCGGGGTGGGAGAGGATGCGCCCAGGTCCTAAAGAGGTGACACCCAACCTGTATAGCAGTCCAGCAGTTAAAAGACTCAGGAAAGGAAAACTTGCCCCATGGTATGCCTGAAATTGAGAGACTTGGGGCCCACAGGGCTCATATCCCAGGTAACTGGTCTAACCATAAGCTATGATGTTCCTGAAAGGGCTCTGCACCCCCTCCTGTGTGATCCGAGGGAACACACATCCCAGGAGTAGAAGTAAAGTGGCCTTTCAAGAGAGTTGGACAAAGGGGCTCAACATTTCATGACTGAGACAAGGCCCCAGCAGATCTCACAACGGGGCTACTCAAAGCTCAGTAGAAGGACAGGATGCTACAGACCTCAACTGATGGAGTCACCTCTGCTAACTTTAAGAGTGTCATGTTGGAAGTAGCTCCTGGTTCAAGAGTCAGAAAATAGGGAAAGTTAGTCCAACTGTAAGGCTATCTAAAGTTCAAGATATTTTAAAAAGATTTTTGAAGTGTCGGTGTTTAAACAAGAACATTTCCTCCACCTCAGCTTCAATAAAATACTAACGCTGCCGATACTGCACCATTTCAAACTGATGCGGTACTTTCCACTGGTTCGGTGATTGACAGGACTGTGTTGGCATTAAACAAAAGAAGACATTCTTTGGATAACTGGTAATAGGATTTCTGAGAGGTATCAAGAAGGATTATCAGTGCAGGAGAAGGAATGGCTCACCATCCCACTGTCACTGGATGCCAGATAACATGTTCCGAATCATTATTTATAGCTCTAAAACATCTGCTGCCCCCAGAGGCTCCAGGATTAAAACACACGGCACTTTGCTCAAGAACTGTGACCCTGGTGAGACTCAGGATCTAAATAAGAACTGTGCAGTTTCAGACAATGCTGATTAAGTGGTGTATTTTTAAAAGGTGACTTCAGATAAATTTAAGAACATCGTGATCCACAAGTGCAAGTTGAGAGGACAAACTCTTCAACAAAGCGTGCTGGCCAAACTCTTGGAAACACCCACAGAACACACTGGTCTTTTATCTTCCACAAGTATCTGGAAACCTGCTCACCTTCATCGGCGGGTATTTATGGTAAGGAGCTGCCCCCGTAGCCAGTTCGATAGCAGTGATCCCAAAACTCCAGATGTCTGCCTTGAAATCGTATCCTCTGACCTGGAAGATATTAGAGGGTGTTAGCATGTGCCTCCAGCTATCCTGCACTACAATCCCTTTCTTGAGCCCACCACACACCCCTTCGCCCTTTCCTTCCTTCCCTCTTGCAAAGACCAGCACTACAGTGTTAAAGGAATTGAAAGAAAACTGTACCTTTGCAGAGGTGTTTTAGAAGTCACAATCTGATAAAAAAATGGTTATGGACTGTGCAACTAGGACTGCTCTGCCACAAACCTCTCCATGTGTAGAGCACAAAGGGGCACTGGGTTAACCCCGGCTCCAACTTCTACACAAAGACACAGAGAGTCATTAAGCAGTATAATGAATCTCTCATAGTTAATAGATGGACTGTTACCCCCTCGGGACATATGCTTCACTAGACTTTTAGTCAACTGCTTAATTAATCTGACTGCAAACAGGCTCGATCCTGGAACTTCAGTACACACCAGCTCAGTAAAAAGCCCCTCGTTCCTGTTTGCGGACTAGTATTTCCCTCCACTAATTAACAGTAGCTTCTGCACTTGACATTAAACACAGGCTCGTTCAGGAAAATTTATAGCATTTACTTCCCCTCACGCACAGGAAAAAATATTTCGTATGCCAAAGCGGTTACTTCCTCATTATCATTAGGTAATATTTTGGCACTTGCTTTCTCCGCTGCAGGGAAGAGACACTGTGTACTAACTTCAGGAGCAGCTACAGAAATCAAAGTGTTTTGGCTGTGGAGAGTGGTTTGTATTTCTTCTTGCTAGACTATGGGAAAGCGAATATTGAATCAGTGCAAAGCTAATCGGGGTGTTGTGTTCAGCAAACCTAACGAGCTTCAGAAAGATATTCATTATGATGAAGCGAAAGAATGTTCCTCAAACTACCTTTAAGACTATCTTGAATTTTGGCAAACGAAAAACTCTCTTGCACTATTTTTCATGTAAAACTATATACAGTTGAACGGAAATTTATTGTAGCAACAGGAGTTTATATTTTGCATAATCTTTTTCAACCATGCAGGCATCATTTTAATGAGCCTTAAAGGCCTGAAAAGTTTCTTGGATTTCCTCAGTTGATGGATGCCATGATTACGAACAGATTTCAAGTCATTTAAATAAACAAGCAGAGATATCTAGTATAATTTAAAAGAACACAGCGCAGGAAGAAATATGCTGTAAGGGTTGGGGTTTTTTTTCCCCTCACACTATTTTTAGGTTCTGAGAATAACTTTGGGACATTTTTGTAGCTTTATCTTTCAGTTAGTCTTGCAGCACACCTCAAAACTGCAACTCCCCATTCCCCACTGGGATTTTAACTGTTTAGTATTTTGGGTTTTTTAATTATATCATATAATCCTGCTTGCAAATGAAAGCTATGAAGTCCAATACCATCTACAGCAGTTCATCTTGACATCTGTCCAATACATATTAGTCATCACCCTGCAGTTATAGTTTATATCAACAACATTTATTTTTCTCATTAACTATTTATTTCTTTGCCATAAATCTGTCAAGTCAACATACATTAAAACACAATGCCAGGCTATCATGTATTAACGTGCTAAAGGAACTTAATGATGCTGAAGTAAAGCAGATGGAACTGGGTTGATAATATCTAAATATCGAAGGCTAACCTACAGCAACCCCTTCATCCTTGTTCCCCGGGTTGGATACAGAGGCTCAGAGTGACACCTGCTGGAAGGCAGCAAGATGATAGAAACGGGTGTTGAGGGATTTCACAGCAGCTTCTTGGTCATCTACTATTTGCAACTAGACGTGCACAGACTTTGAGAAAGTACAGGACTCCCCAGATAACCTGCCTCCTTCACAAACACATCTGTTGTATCAAGAATCCCCCTCCATTTGTCACTAAAACCTTAATTTCTCCTTTTTTTAGCACCCTCAAGATCTTTTTCCACCTCTGTTGTCCTGCAGATTGCAGCCATCCTAACCTCAATGAGCCTGGAGCAGCACCGTTAGGTCCTGGCCAGCCTGCTGTGCCCCAGGACTGGACACTAAGGACAGAAAAACAAGGGACAGCTCTGACCTGGTACTGGAAACACTGAATACTCTATTTTTATTTATTTTTAAATCAACATAACAAAAAAATCCAGAAGTATATGACAGTGAAGCAGTTCAGAAGGAAGTTCTTGGACTCCCAGGAAGCTGCAGGAGTGTGCTAAGGCACCAGCCCCTCAGTGCCACCATGGGGAGACACTGAAAAGGCCAAATATCGAAAAAGCTTTCCATCTATAGTATATTTAAGATACTCCAGAATTCTCAATCCCTCAACCATGGGGAGACACTGAAAAGGCCAAATATAAAAAAATTTTTTACATCTATAGTATATTTAAGATACTCCAAAATTATCTCAATCCCTCCAGAAGTTTTAGATATTGGGAAAAATGCATTAAAAGTTCTACCACTGTTTTAGCTGCATTTCATTTTGGATTATATATATATATGGGGTAGTGGGGATGGGGGTGTGTTTCACACAAGTTTCTCCTAAGCTTCAAAATAATTTATTATGAACAACAAGGAGAAAATTAACAAGGTGGGTTTACTTTATTAAAACAATTTTTTTCCCCAAATATTTTTCTTTAAAAGATTTTTGCAAGGAAAAAAATGGAAAAATGGAAAGACATTTATAAGCAGTTGTATTTCTGCTTGGCACACCTGTCAGAAATCAAACCCCGAGGCCAGTCCTCTGTCAAACTGGTTTTAAGGGGATGAGAGAGAATTTTCAGAATGCTTCTGGCACTGAGCATCAGTGCAGGAGACAGCTACTGCAAATGCCCTGTCAGGACAGGGGCATAATTTTGTTCATGGATCTTGCTCAGAAATGGGCAGCGATATTTTACTTTAAACAAAGTTTCTGGGTGGCCTTCATCAGAAGTCACACAGACAAAGCTTCTATAGTTTAGTCTAGAAGTAGTGGAGGACGAAAAGTCACATATCTCCACCTAAGGGGAAGAAGTATGACATCTTTTAGCCAGCCAAAAGGGCAGAGGAGGAAGGGGGAGAGGCAAGCATTCCTCAGCATTTACAGTCTGGGTACTCCCCAAGCCAAGAGAAACTAAAAACCCGAATTAAGTCAACTGCATGTTATTTTACTGTCATAACTCCCCACTTTGACATGTTGCACTTAGCTACCCCAAATTCTCATAGTTGCAAAAGTACAAGAGCGTGTTATTGAGCTGTTTATGTGCATATTTACCATGTGTGAAACTATTTATATTCTACCTCACATTTATGCAAGAGGGAGGGGCAGGTTAATCTTCTTTATGCAACAGCTGAGCTGTCTCACCCTCACCTTAGGTAGGAGCCTGAAGAGAAGCAACAGGGCAAAAATCTACTGAACACTTAAGATTCCCCAATAAAAGCCTGGCTAAAACAGGCAAATGGAAGAAAATCCTGCAGTTTTAAGAAAGCTTTACAGGATACCAAATTATCATCATCGTTTGATACAGCCCTTGCCATCAACAGGGAATTCCAGGTGCAGATCAGCTAAAAGGACACGAGGAAAAACAATTCACCTGCTCCATAACTTCTGGTGCCATCCAGCAAGGTGTGCCCACAAAAGTTTTCCTGACTTTATTTCTCGTGATGTCACCACCAGTGGCCAGAAAGGCGCTGACGCCAAAGTCTGAAAAGAAAAAACAAAAGAAACCAGATTTTATTAAGAACAATTCCTGAGCAAACTGAAGGGCTGTCCCCTCTTTCCCCTCGTATTCCCGGCCATCTATTAAGTACCAGACCATACAGTTACGCATGAGGAGTTTCCTAATAAAGGAAGAATGATCAACAGTTAGGTAAGAGTGCTGGGACACGAATGGTCTGTCGGCCACCACTCAATTACTGGGGACAGCAGAGCTTTCAGCGCTGGGCGGCAGAGAGGAAAATTCCACTTTCCATCACGGCCCACTGGTCACATTAGAACATGCCCACGCTCCCCCGGCAGACACGCCACTGTACAAACCTGCCTCTGACAGCCAGTGCTTTATTTACATTTTGTATACATACATCACAAGCCACAACTTAATACTTGCAGCAATGAAGCCGCTTTACGTACATAAGAAGTTACTAGACTTTAAAGCATTTAACTGCCCCCTGACTGCATCCTGCAGAGTGGAGGTATCAGCAGCCCCTTCATTCTGGGTGTTTTATTACCAGAATATGCTTTGCTCAGTAATCTTCCACCGTGGAGATGCTCAGTGCTTTAACAGGACCTTGGAGCGGTTCCCGATGACACAGCAGCGGCAGGGAATGCAGCGGCACGTGCTGCTCCCCAGCCCAACCATCCCTGGGGAAGCCTCACAGACAGGTACCCCAGTGCTACCCCCACCTCAAACATCTCCTCACCACAAGAAGAAGTGCCAGAGCGTGTCCAGAGGAGAGCCACCAAGCTGGTGAGGGGTCTAGAGAACAAGTCATACGAGGAGAGGCTGAGGGAAGTGGGCATGTTTAGTTTGGAGAAGAGGGAAGACCTCATTGCCCTCTAGAACTACCTGAAAGGAGGTTGTAGAGAGGTGGGGGTTGTTCTCTTCTCCCAAGGGAATAAGAACAGGATCAGAGGAAATGGTCTGAAGTCACAGGAGGAGAGGTTTAGATTAGATATTAGGAAGAATTACTTGACTGAGAGGGTGGTCAGGCACTGGAACAGCCTGCCCAGGGAGGTGGTGGAGTCTCCATCCCTGGAGGGATTTAAGAAACATGTAGATGTGGCACTTCAGGGCATGCTCTAGTGCCTGAGATAAGGGATTTTTTCGTGTGTGTATGTTTGGACTCAGTGATCTCAGAGGTCCTTCCCAACCTTGATGGTTCTGTGATCTTCCACAAGCTGAAGGATGCTCAAGGGTGCCTCATGCGCTCCCTGGGAATTGTATTATTTAAAGTAAATCTTTCTTTTACAAGAAAACTATGCTTTCAAAGACAACACTGGCATTTTATGCAGTTATGAATGACATGGAAAACAGGGTCTGGAAGCCACAGCAGTACAGATAGGAATGGGATACAGTATGTTTGTTCAGAGAAGAGTGTTACAAAAGATTTGGCAACCAAGTCATTCAAGAGAGGACAGCAGACTTTTCTTGGAGAAAATAAAAATAAAAAAAATCAGGTGACAGGGAAACTGTAAACACAAATCTGTGCAAGTATTTCTTCCCATTTGGCTCCAAACTATGCTGCTTATGTAGTGTAGAATTATAGACCTGCAATGGGTCATTCTCCATAACTCAATTTTATCCACACATCCCCTTTTAAACACAGTACAAGCAATCAAAAGGTTGAATGCCATTTTTGAGATTGATGTCAGGCTTGGAAGCTAAATCTCTGAAATTCAAGGGCTATTTCATATAAAAACAGAATGTTATTGACCACAACTGGTCTGAAAATACTTGAAACTCAGCCAACATAGTTAACTGTAAATGCAAAAGTCTTACTCAGAGTAGCCACAGAGTTACTCCACAGCTTAGAGATGTTATCCTAATCGAGGAATCAACCACAACAAACAGTTGATTTACAATTGGGAAGCGATGGCATCCATGTGAGGACAGTCCCAAGCTTCCCTCTGCATCACGCCAGCAGCACAATGAGCCCCTTCCCACCAGACATTTTCAATATTTGAGAAACCCCACTGAAATCATCACTCAGCAGAGTAAGACGCTGAAAGCCTCAAGCCCACTTAGGTTAGAGGCTTCCAAGGAGAGGAACTTGGTGCTCACTAAAATACTAGATGTGGATAACTGAAAGTTTACATTAAAGAAAGTTGCACAGAAATCACAGGGCTAAAAGAAGCACCAGCAAATGCCTATCATGAGGGTTCAGCTTCTTCCAGATACACTGTCCTGTTCTCTTCCCTGATGCCAGAGGCATCTTGTCTCCCTGTTAACCTTCAAGTTTTAGCACATCTAGATGGATCGCTCTCCCTGTCAACACTGCAATCTGCACTTTTCCTGGAAAACCACTTTTTGTAACAGTGCTTTTGTTTTGGGATCTTCCATGTACGTACTCACCACCCTTGCTTTTCTCAGAAAACTAAATGAGCTTCCTAAAAAGTTCAGAGTAAAATTATTTGCACTTTGCTGCTCATTACGGGAAGTCTCACAAGACCTATTGTTCTAAACACAAGAGCAATTAGAAGTTCTTTTAAATAAGATAATACTAATAGGAACTTGTCCAAGTGCCATCAGCATATTATTGTGATGTGCTGTATTTGAACTTGTGTATATTATCTTACCTCAAGTTTCCATGCAGTCATTTTGAGGGTAAAGGAAATGCCATTCAAAGCAAAAGCATTCCAGCAGGAAAAACACAAGTCCTTTGCGTAGCACACACACAGCATTCACCACATTTCACAGCAAACGTGGGTTTACAAATTCCAGTTGGAAATTGTGCCCCTGCAGCTGCCATCTGAGGTCAGCAGAAAGCTTAAATGGAATTAAATTGTATTATGTTACATGGCTGATTTATTCAATGTTTTCCCAATCAATTTCCCTCATTCCCAGTGGGCTAAAACAGGCACAAACACCCCACGCTGCTCTTCTGAAACTGTCTTCTCAAATGTCACCTTACTAACTTTACCCAAGTCCCATCTATTAAGATAAGAATGTGCCTGCTCTCAAGAAGTATCTGTAAAGAGATAAAAAAAAAAAAATCCCACAAGTTTGGGTTCAATTCTTACTTCTAAGCAGCTGGTACGATCCACGGCTCATTTTCTCTGTCACTGTTAATCACCCTCAGGAAGACTGAAACGAACTAGGTTACTGCGAATTAATTTCACTCTAGAAAGTGGGGAAAAGTCACAAAACTTAAGAGGTAGGATAGCTCAGAAGCGTTTACATTTGTACTCTTCTTCGGCAGCTTGTGCTTTATTTTGGCTCATGACAGCGATAACCGGAAAGGGCTGCATCACCCGAGACTGGGAGGAATTGGGAATGTTTGGACCTGGCTTGCAATACCAGTAACCACCACTGCTGGGAATCCAACGACTGTCAGATATTCTAAATGAGCCCAAAAATTGCAGACTTCCAGCAATCTGCTAGCAAATAATAGTCTCCAGGATGTCTGGATGCAAGTGGTAGGATTTTTTTTTTTTTGGTAATAATTTTTCTGAAGCAAAGATTTATCTGCTGGACTTGGTTCAGTGATATAAACCAAACACATCTTTAAAAAAAAAATCTCCAGACTCTCATATCACAGCAAAACCAACCCAGAATGGAAATCATAATTTTGCTGATGTAGCCTCTGCAAAAAATACAGCCAATGCGGACTTCTTCAGTAGAAACATCACGTGTTGCAAACCACATACCCTAAAAAACACTTTCCAAAAGCGTGGTGTTAGGAAACAATTCTTGCTATTAAGGTATCCAAGTCGTCAAACTTGAAAACTATTCTGGCCACTCAGGAAATGTGAAAGCTGAAAGGAAAATCTCCTTTTTCTATTCTGCATTGCAGAAACAAACACCCAGTCTAAACAACTCACCAAGGTAAGAACTCTGTGGCAGGACCTCTTCACAATGGACACCACAGCTGCTGCGTGCATCAGGAAGATACATTTCTACAGTATCAGATTGTTTTATCCAAATCTAAAAGTCAGATGTTAAAAATCATCTCTCCTTGGCCATCTCATGTTGTAACATTACCTAAATCCTAGAAAGCCTGAGTACCTGCTGCTGTAGGCAGGTACCACAAGGGAAAGATGCCATCATCAGAAGGGCAGGACCAAAGCCCACTGACAGCAGAAAAGGTCCTGATGAGTTTGGATCAGATCCTACAGCAGTTCCCAACTTCAGTGGGGGCAGAACAACAGAATAAACTTATCTTGACTTCAAACCAATCTCAAACTTGTGTAGCCAAGGTATTATCCCTCCTCAATCAAAACTAGAAGTATTTTAGAAGACTGTGCCAAATGTTCTTTTCACTGGTCACCCTCCTTCTTGTTCAGTTGTTCACCATCAGAAAAAATGAAGAAAATGAAGACTGGTGAAGAACAAGAATGTGCACATGCCACAAGTTTAGCCTTTTTGCAATAACGTCAAGGCACATAAAAGATGGATGAAATCCCTTTGCTGAGTAAATGTAAAGATTGTAACTGATCCCCAACAGCATGTTAATAAAGATACACTAATCCCACACCAAGTAACTTGAGGATGACAAAGCCCAGGCCGGGTGAAGCCACCTCCCTTTGAGAAGTTCACAAGTGGTTTCAACAAGCAAATAGCGCAACATCTCTTCAGGAAACGCAGATATTACAAGCAACACAAAGAATAAGTTACTTCACATCCTGCTGCTGCAGGAGAGGCACCAAAACTCTCCATCAACCACAAAGAAAAACACTTTTGCCTGTTTTTCTAAAGAGACAAGAGGCTCAGAGGTGTCCATGATACAACACCGGCTGCTCACGCCAGCCCTGCAGCTGGCACTCCTCTCCCCGAGTGAGATTCAAACCTTGTCCCTAGTTAAAGCAATTTAATCTCCCAAAATTAGAGTTTCCTAAGGGAAAGTGGGGGAATGACACTGCCCGCATCACAGCCCGATGTTTATGCGGAGCGCTATTTTAGTATAGTGAATTAAGAGCAGTCAGGAACAGAGCGAACCGGTGACAAGCTGGCAGGGATTTGTGGAAAGTTACACAAATTCAGTTAC